TCGACCACAGAGAAAGCCAGCTTGATTTTCACGAATCTCTCTCCATACAATCGTTTAACTTGTGAAAAATGATGCCAGGAAGCATCTTAGATGCTATGATCACCAGCCTAATGCAACAATGGTTTTCGCATAGCATCTTTTCGCCATTTTTAAAGACAGACGCTGGATGGCATCTGCACATCTCTGAAGACCCGTCGACCAGTAGGTTTGGAAAACTATAAAACTAACCTTCAGGCATAACTGTCTCCCTCCTTCCAAAACGACTTCCAAAAGGCCGCGATCTTGCAGCTCCTGGCACATGACAGCAGACACATGAAGCAAGTAATGGGTGTCTGTGCGTGCATATTCAATTAACTCGTCAGGCAGAGGTCTGAATGGGTGCGAAATGGATAGAACAAAATTACCAGACTGTAAAGGAACAGTATGTCGTATAACATGGAAGTGACCAAGTAAAGGGAAAGTAAGGGTAAGAAATCACAATGGACTCTGTTCAGCACTAAATCGACGAGTGTCATAATCCAGGCAATCTCGTTAACCTATGGGCCCCATCTAGGGATGGTTAGGCGCCATCTAGGACCAGTTTGGTGTTACCTTTTCAGACTCAGACTCAGTGCCATTCCCTGACTTTTAGCTGGTCTTCTTCTATCAGTTTCTTGTCTCGTGAGAAGTACAGGCAGATATGGACGATGGACGGAAAGTTACATAACATATTTCAAAACACCTAAGTTTGTCCCGTCAAATGACTGCGCTTAGGAGTCTGCCGAACCCATTTTTTTGATAACGCACCCCATTAAGTCATGACGTTACTTTAGTAGTTTGTCTATCAAGTGAGAGCAAACGTTTGAATGTATCAGAGACAGGAGACTGGGGGGAGTTTACGTGTAAAGAATAACTGACCACACAGAAGTGACATATATGCTTATGTCACGCGGATACCACAGATGATATTAGTTCGGAAAAACATCGCGTGCTTTCGTCTCTTGGTTTTTCACCTCAGCCGCCAAGAATAAAAGTGAACTGAGCTAAGACAAGGGATGAAACTTTCAGTCGTCGGACTCGGAATGGGTTGCAACCTCATACTGAGGGATGCTATTTCGAGTCATCAGATGCATCTCTGGCAGGTATCTCGAATTATCTAGCCAACATACTTAAGGCTCACCTGGTACTTTGGGCTACTGTTTCACTGCATACTCACTACAGAGTATCCCATTGAGAAGTGAGTGGTTTGAGTCAACCATCGTTCCTCATCACAGTCAAGCGCGTGCCAAAAACAAGAAGATGAAAAAACCAGACTGTGGAACAGGTACAATCACAAAGCAAGCACACAGAACTGATTTGACAATCCGGGCATCCTGGAAGTCTTCCACGATCGATACTGACATACCGCTGAGCTCCAGGATAATCACATGGGTCAATATCCATGTGAATATACTCTTCGCATACAGTTAGATTAATTTCAAAGGTCCGCATACATCAATGCTTACCATGGCCCAGCATTGTCCGTAAAATGCAGTCATGGACACGTGTCAAATAGTGGTGAAGGCAGTGTGACGAGAGCCTACTCTGGACAGCAAGCGATTTTTACGCGCAGCGCTTCAGAGAACAGCTTGGAAAAGACGCGACTGGATAAAACTGGCACTGGATCATCGAACAAATGCATCAAGTCATCACGAGGGTGACCCAAGTACGCACGGGCGTAACAATTCTGAACCCACATCTTGTTACTTTGCCAAATACTCCCATTCACAAGCTAATTTCGTCTTAACGGGAGACTCAGCTGAATCGAACTGAAAGTCTCGTTTACGATAGCTAGAATTTTCCGCGAGCCCTAAAAGCAGTTCGTTATGTTTAGGATTTTATATTGAAAAAGATGTGTTGTTGTGAAGACCCACACCGTTAGAGTGCGAAAAACCCATGCACCGACAAAGTAAGCTTTAAAAATAGCCCAAACGTAATACACTACTCATAAGGTTGCTTAAAGCTCTTCGACTGGGCTAACGAAGTCTCCCACGAACTTAAGGGTAGTGCGCTGCGTTCAGACAAGGTACTGTCATATATCGAATGCCGTACCAACTGAAACATTAAGCGGCTTGGTACACCACATTCAGTTGAAGCGGACCGTCAGAAACAAGAGATCCAGCTGGAATCAGTTGAGTCTCTTGTCAGAACTAAATTCATAGGTCATGGACGCTTTTTAGGGAGTATGTAGACCAGTACAACTGGCTACATCTGTGAAAAGCGTTCCCCATAGTAATAAGAGTTCACAGTGGAGCCTTGACCAGAGCAACCTTTCACATGGAGAGGACGCGGTCCTTGTCCCGATCCATTTTAGCGTAAGAGTGCACTCCCTCCCAAGAACCAGAAAATTGCTCTGGAGGCTAGCTACACCGTAGTATTTCATTGCACAGGAGCAGAAATTCTGTTAGTCGGTCACAATTACGTGGATGACCAGGGCCTTAAACTCAATGTATGGTTAACTCTACTGTGTAGGTGTCATTCATTAGCTGTTTTTAATTGAATATTTAGTATGAAACCTCCATTAACATCGCTTGAAAAGTCGACAGCCGGGAAGACCAAAAAGTATTCGTACCTGATTCGCCAGTCGGCCAGTTGATATTTCTTATTTGCGCGAAAATTGGCATACCGCAGCAGAAGAAAGCTAAGAGAAAAGCGTCCCAGCTGTAGTGCTCGGGCCGCCAGCCCGGTGTCAAACAAGTTGATAACATAGACGCTGAAATCCCTCTGAAGCCACATGAGATCCATATCTGATCCATGAAAGACCTGAAAGTCAGAGGCGGACAGTGTTCAAGTGCGACGAGAAGAATATTTCACTGGATATAATAATACCGACAGCCCTGTGTCTCATCCTAAACTGCATGCCTTTTGGTTCAATGAGTCATTTGGGATTTTTCGAAGATTCCGAGTTAATTAGTTCTGGAGATATTGGCAAAATTGACCTCGTCACTCCTCAGAGAGGTTAGGCGTCCTGGATCGTGAGACCTCTGTGCAAGCGTCCTGTATCTCAATCGACGGATTACCGCATCTATACAGCAGGCTCAACCCGCCGGAACGCAAGCGGAGGTAGGTACTAGTAACATGGACCACTTGGCTCCAGTCGCCAAAATTTCTCCTTACTAACAAGGGGATGGATCAGGTTTATTCATACATTTCATGTGACAAATCTAGGTGTTGTATAAATCAAATAACAGTGGCACATCTGTTAAGGACGAATGCCAAAAGCGTCCTAGAACTGTACACTGGTTGAGAAAAAGTCAAAGCGAATAGACAGGTTGTGGTATCCTTTCGGTAAATCCAATCTAATTCGTCACCATCAATGAGATCCTCCAGAGCGTCCGGGCGAATACTAGAAGTCGAGAGAATAGTGGCTGACTGGAATCGATTATTTCTCACCATCAATGAGATCCTCCAGAGCGTCCAGGCGAATATTAGAAGTCGAGAGGATAGTGGCTGACTGCAATCGATTATTTCCGCAGTCGTGTACGGACGCAGTCGTGTCGGGACGTGGGCTACGTTGCACTTCCCAGGTGTCCAAATTGTTAAGGAAATATGAAATGATTAGAGAACAAACTCTTATGGTTCATGGTTGGTTGGAGTTGGAACATTTTCAGAAACTGAAAAGCTTGAAGAAAAACGCCTGCGACCGACGTGTCAAGAGGAATTGCACCAGCCGAAACAAAGCTCAGTGGGCAAATGTCAGCTCAAACAAACGACGTGCCAAAAGTCAAATCATGATGGGATGAGAAACGTGGAACGTCAGGCTTACCTTAACCACATCAGGGTCAGTGAAGATCACATTCAGTTTGTGCAAATGGTCACGTAGAGCTAATGCGTCCAGTATATAGTCTGTAGTCCGCGTGCTCAGCTGAACGAGACACGTTATGCCAAGGTAGCTTCGATGACTATGGTGCTGAATAAGGACAAAAAATTGTTTGTTATTCACCAGTTCAAAGTTGGAAAAGAACAGCGTGAGAAAGTGGTGGTTGGCGTTGCTGTCCTTATCCGCAGGGATGTGCCTGTGGGCAAAAAAATCAGATCAAGAAGCGATTTCCTGTGTCCTTGAGTTACAGAATCGTTCACGGTAAGTAGCACGGAGTTCGGATACCTGGTTTCTGTAAATCTCTTACTTAGCTACAAGCTACAAAAGCATTTCTGTTGTCCAAACAAGATGGTATCCTATGTCACTGCCCGTTTTCTATTTGTTAAACAGAGTACTCTTTTTTAGTGGAGATAATGCCCAAAAAAGCAGTTTGTTGGTCTCTCCAGGAGAGTGACCTAACTTTGTTGGGGTTTTTCTTGGACGTGGGTTTGAATTCTGAACTTCGTCTTCAGAACAAAGTTGGCCAATTCTGAAAATTTAAATTACTGCACAGCTGTCTATTACCACTTGACACCCCTCTGCAGTGAGCAACACGCGGGTCAGACGTTTGGAGTCGAACACACTATCTCTGGCACGGCAGGCGAACGACAGACCGCTGATCACCTGAATCAGAGAATAATACTTGAAAACTAGAAGGACCCGAAAAGATGGTTACATGGCAGGTCTACAAGTCCAACTCCACAGGACTCCTTTGACAACAATAAGAGCCAGGTGAGGGACCATAGAGTATGAGCATGCAGAGGCTGCCTCCAGTGTTGCGAAGCGTTCGAAGTGGAGTTTATTGTAGACTTTTGTGTCGGAAATTTAGACGGTACGTGCCACAGAGTGAGTGAGCGAATCAATCACACTGCATCAGGCAACCTATTGATATACTTGAAAGATCACCTAAATCAGAGAATAATACTTGAAAACTAGAAGGACCCGAAAAGATGGTTACATGGCAGGTCTACAAGTCCAACTCCACAGGACTCCTTTGACAACAATAAGAGCCAGGTGAGGGACCATAGAGTATGAGCATGCAGAGGCTGCCTCCAGTGTTGCGAAGCGTTCGAAGTGGAGTTTATTGTAGACTTTTGTGTCGGAAATTTAGACGGTGCGTGCCACAGAGTGAGTGAGCGAATCAATCACACTGCATCAGGCAACCTATTGATATACTTGAAATGTATGGCTTGCAAATGTATACGTTGCAAGTGAGGGTGGAAAGTCTCATAATTTCGATGGTAAACTTGAATCTGAGAAACCTTTTTAAGGTGTGAATCATTGTGAAAATCCATGGTGTCGTGATGATAAAAAAAGTAAACAAGGCTGCGCTGAAGCACGATTGTAACCTCCACAACAAAACCATTTCCGAATTCAGAGTGGGTTCACTCAGGTATGACTGTTTCACCGAGTGGTAGAGTTTACTCATTAGATGAGACCCAGCGGCTCGGGATAGCGCAGGGGTTATGGCGCCAGCTTACGGACCGGAAGGTCCATCGTTCCAACCCAACCTGAACATCTCGACTGCTTCCACCTATGCTTGGACAACCTGGCAGTATCCCAGCCCTTGTGCCTACTTCTGTTGGCATAGCAGCTAGGCATCGAAAGTTTTATATAT